CTGGCGTTAAAGATGACGTGGGCATAGTTTTATAATTTGGATGTTTTGATTTACGGTCAAATGAAAAGATGACAGATTTACCAAGCACCGCAAAAACCACTCCTCCGTCAGATCTGGCAGATTCTGATTGGATCAGTAAAAGCAATGTGTGATGTGGCTTAACCTTACGTGTGATCAGTCTCTAGTGGAAACATTTAAAGTCATATTACTTATTATATTCTGTAGGATTATAATATCAAGTAATTAATATTTTCATTTCACAAATTGGTTCACATTTTATTATTGACCAACACTTTGTTTGATTAGCTTATTAAAAATAGAGTTCTTTGATTTATTAAAAATAAAGAGTCCTTTGTCTTCATTCTTCTCTTGGGCTGGAAAGCAAAACAGTTTAGAAACAGAGCATGAGACCTTGAGCAATATCTCATGCGGATTAGTTCTTGCTGAGGAGAAGGGGGAAATGACTTTTAGGTGGAAAACAGTCATTTCATTCCGTTACATTCTTTCGGTCACTACCCAAAGCCCGTGACCATAGGTGAGGGTAGGTAGATAGATCGACCGGTAAATCGAGAGCTTTGCCTTCTGACTCAGCTCTCTCTTCACCACGACAGACCGGTACAACGCCCGCATAAAAACCTTTTTGTTCAAAAGCAAAGGAGTTTCTGAGGCATCATCACCATAATCACTACTTTTTTTGACATCGAGTACACTGCATTGTTGGATGTCTCTTATCTAAATGTGTGCGCCGCATTCGTCAAAACGTGAGAACCGCTTCACTAATTTGTCATTACGCTTAATTGTAAGAATGTTGTTTTCAGGAAGCGGAGAGCAAGTAGCCACGAGTGGTGAACGAAAACGGGGTTCACCTGACAGCCTATTTCAGCTGAAAATGCACCTTTGGGTCATTTTTGGCCCAAAATTTTCTCTGGTCAAATTTTTGATAATTCTTACTGTTTAAGAGGTCCAGGTCTACCAGACAGAGTTAAACTGCATTCTTACGCCGGGGACACACCGGCCGCCGAAGCGCCGGGAGGCGAAGCGCTCACGAAATTCGGCCGCTGCTCGCTGCTCCTCAGTTCAGACCAGACCCTTGTTTCTCCGCTCCGGTCGAGGCGCGCCTCGTAGTTTTTCTTTTAACCACTTGGTGTCCTCCATTTCCTCTCTGCCTTTTCTCTGCTCTTCTCCCCCCCCCCTGCTGTTTGTGTGTGTGTGTGTGTGTGTGTGTGTGTGTGTGTGTGTGTGTGTGTGTGTGTGTGTGTGTGTGTGTGTGTGTGTGTGTGTGTGTGTGTGTGTATGTGTGTGTGTGTGTGTGTGTGTGTGAACCTATAGTGTGAACCAGTTGTTAATAGCTGGCCTACGACTTTCTGCCTCTCTGTCCTGTTTGCTCCGGTTGAAAGACACCCACAACCACACCCCCTTCACGTGGTCACACACACACACACAAGTTCGCTGTGTGTGTTCATGTGGTTTTTATGCAGTGTCTGTTTTCAAACACATTTAACTATCGCTGAATTTTGTTTTTTGAAATGCTTTATTTTGTTAAATTTACCGCCCTGCCTCTTATGTCTAGGTTTGACTTCCTGCCAGAATTGACGCGGTTCACCCGCGGCTCGCAAAAAAAAATAGAGCAGATGGCAAAACGATCGCTGCACAGCCTGGGCTGGAGCACTGGCGCGCCGTGCTTCGCGGCGCTTCGGCGGCCCATGCGGTCTATAGAATAAGATTAGAAGGGCGCCAAATGAAGGCGGTCCCAATTTCGCGGCGCTTCGGCGGCCGGTGTGTCCCCGTCGTTAGACTCAGTAGCTTTAAAAATACACAAAGAAGCTGGCCTTGCTTTGGTTGGACTCTTTCACAAATTATTTTCCAGTCATGCGTTCAACAGAAAACAACCCATCAACCTTAAAAGAATACGAAACAAATAAACAAATCCAGCACTAGGAGATAGGTTCCTTCAGGGCCGACGAGCTAGTCTGACCTTCTTAACAAAGCAGGTCATGAAATGTTATCCTACAGATCTGCTGTTATGTGTTTGTTTGCTGGGATTTCTCTGGTTAGTTACAAGCATGTGGGATTGTGTTTATGTGTGCTCCTGGTGGTAGAGAAGGTGCTTTTATTTGTGAAACCTGGTTGGTCGTAAATCAACATCTCTGCTGGTTCTCAGATGAACTTGAGCCATGGGCCCTCTCTTAGAGCTGCCCATTATCTCACATCGAACAAAGAGCGAGTGTATGAGAAATGCGTCTCACACAGCAGCACACAGAGCATGCTCGCTCTTTAAGACGCTGGAGAAGACAGAGGCTGGCACGGATTTTGACATCTTTCAGTACTTTCATTTTCAAAAACGGCACACAACAGTTAGCAACACTAAAGAATGCATTCTTCCAATGTGCATTCTTTAGTGTTGCTTCTTCAGCTGGCTTGGAGAGTGCAGGAAAGACTCTGGATTATGTTGAACCGTCGGATTATTCTGCATGCTGCTGTGTGTTTGTGTTTAATAAACCAGCAGCTGGGACAGGGAGGATGTCCTCTAAGCACGGCCCAGGTCTCCCATCAGAACAGCTGAATAATATTAACAGTTTAATGCATATTAAACTGTCAAATTACAAATATATTAGTTATTTTTAAATATTACAGACACTGAACTAATCTCATGTTAAAACTATGACTCTTGTTCAAATATTAAACTAATTTAGAAGATGTTTCATGACGGCTAATTCAGCAGCATCGACCTGATCTATGGTCATAGTCCGACCTGTTTTATCTGGGCAGCATGTGCGTCAGCAGCCCGGATGCCTCCAGTTTCTACGGACGAACTCTAATGTAAAACTCACTCCTATCCTCACAGATGGAAGACAAATAAACCTTCACTTTTGACTCTAACTACTGAAAACTGTTAACTCCATCAGTTCTATCCCTCTTTTGTCTTCAGTTTAGCCTATAAACACACATGTAATAGCTTCTTCTGAGTGTGTGTGTGTGTGTGTGTGTGTGTGTGTGTGTGTGTGTGTGTGTGTGTGTGTGTGTGTGTGTGTGTGTGTGTGTGTGTGTGTGTGTGTGTGTGTGTGTGTGTGTGTAGTCATGTATGCAGCTAGAGATCTTCTGTTTGTCCACTTGTAAAGGACCAGTTATTGTTTCATGTAACCGGATGAAGAGTGAATTTAAATTGACGATTTTTGAAAACATTTCATTTAATGACCTAATATACTACTTTTGCTGATGCACAACAGCATGACCTGCAGACAGAGACTCGTAAGTGAAGCTTTATGTTTATGTTTATGTATTTAGCAGACGCTTTTGTCCAAAGCGACTTACAAGTGATAATCGGCATGTTGCCCTTGAGGTTAACAACAACAACAACAACAACAACTTGACATCAATCATGGAGAGGAGGGAACAAGGAGTGAACAGTAGAGAGGGGGGACGGGTGCAGGGAAGGTGCTAGTTAAGAAGATGCTCTCTGAAGAGCAGGGTCTTCAGGAGTTTCTTGAAAATTGAAAAGGAAGCCGCAGTTCTGGTAGTGTTAGGAAGGTCATTCCACATTTGTGGAACGATGCATGAGAAAAGTCTGGATTGTCCTGAGCGTGGTGTAGGCACTGCTAGCCGACGATCCTGTGATGACCGGAGCGGCCGGGCCGGGACGTAAGCCTTTGCAAGAGGATTCAGGTAGATGGGAGCCGTACCATCTCGGACTTTGTATGCTAGTGTTAGCAATTTGAATTTGATGCGTGCTGCTAGCGGTAGCCAGTGGAGCTCAATGAACAGAGGGGTGACGTGTGCTCTTTTTGGCTGATTGAAGACCAGACGCGCCGCTGCGTTCTGGACCATTTGAAGAGGTCTCACAGTACAGTCTGGAAGACCAGTTAGAAGGGCATTGCAGTAATCGAGGTGGGAAATGACAGCAGATTGCACCAGGAGCTGGGTGGCACGTTGTGTTTGGTATGGTCTGATCTTTCGTATGTTAAACAGCGCAAAGCGGCATGAATGAGCAACAGAGGCAACATGATCTTTAAAGGTCAGGTGTTCATCAATCACAACACCCAGATTTCGAGCTGCCTTTGAAGGAGCCAGAGATAGGAAGTCATTTTGGATTGAGATATTGTGCTGTATGGATGGTTTTGCTGGGATGACAAGTAGATCAGTTTTAGAGAGGTTGAGTTGGAGATGGTGGGATTTCATCCATTCTGATATGTCAGAGAGACAGTTTGATATTCGTGCAGAGACAGTGTGGTCGTCCCGTGGAAATGACAGATAGAGCTGGGTGTCGTCTGCATAGCAGTGTTAGGAGAAGCCATGTGATCGAATGATCTCACCCAGTGAAGTGGTGTATATGCCTTCAGAGGCACGTCCATCTATATTTGCACACAGTTTCTCACCAGGCTTCAGAAGTGAGAGTGACTTCCTGACCATCTCTTGAGAACTGATGGCACCTTTTGTCTCAGAAAAAGAAGAGAATCAATGAGAACTGGTGCTTTCACAAAAAGAGTTCAGGCGTGTCAGGAAAACCACAGATCTGATTCTCTTTTATGAGTGTCAGGTTTTTCTGTGTCTATAGATAAACAGTTTAATTAGGCCTTTTGTTGTTTTACAACATAAATAAAATACTTTATGATTAAAGCTCACCCTGACTCCTGTCTCACCCTCTGTCCCATAGTCAGGATGGGAAACCCAACACCTGGTTTGTACTCATGAAGAGATCCATGTGGAGCAAAACCTATTTCTCTGCCATGTTTGTTCCTGCTGTTTGAGATAAGTCTGTCTTTAGATTGTGCAGCAGAGACGGCTAGGATCAGGCATCTTTCCAACCTGCTGGACTTCATGAGAATGTTCTCACTAACTTGATTAGCTCTGTTAGCTTTGCGGATCTTCCGGAGATGGAGCAGACAGTGGGAGCAGGTAGAACGGCATAAAAGACAAAAACAAGTTTACTCTTAGACTGTAGCTGAATTAGTTTTAAACAACATGCATGTGTTTCTGATCCGTGCTGACCTTTTGTCCTCCAGGTCTTCCAGGTGCTGTCCTGTCTTTCAGCTACCAGAGAGACAACCTGTGTAAGTGGTGTGAAGTTTCCAGTCCAGTGTGTAAGGACAACATTTGCTTCAGTAACTGCAACTTGACCTCCTTCTGCACGGTCGCCGAGGAGATCTGCGTCTCCATATGGTGAGAGTCCTCAGGCATTCGTCCAAGTGCACTAAATGGGTCCAGATCTGGAAACCATAAACGTTTGTTGCTGCTGCTGTCTCAGCTCAACGTGGTGCATCTCCTTTATGAAAATCTATTCAAGGTCGAGTCAAATCAAAAAAGTACCAAACAGAAATCAGGTCACAGAGTTTTCTAAAACTTCCATCAACAACATTATTATTATTAATTATATATAACTAAATGTTTTCTCTGTGGTGTTTTTCTCTCTAAACTTCATTGTGACAACGTAGATTTCTTTTATCTTCTTGTTATTTAGTGGCTCTCTGGTGAGTTTAATCATCATATGTAATATGATTATAAATTCACACAAATGCACATTTCAGGAGGCAAATCTTCCTCTGTGGAGTTTGTCTTTGCTGAGTTTTGGGGAAATGTTACTGGCTTTGCCATTGGGAGAAATGAAGCGCCCATCCTGCATTTCATCCAATTCAAGAGCCGTCTCAAGTCACTTCACAAAGTAAACGTTCCAATACAGTTCAGGTCATTAAGCCAACTAGGGATGGGTACCTTTGACATTTGAATCGATCCGGTACTAATTCCCAGTACCTAGGAATCGATACCGGTACTTAACGGTACCAATTTTCGATACTTTTGAGTGTTCTATATTTTAATTCTCTTTTATAATTAAATATATTTTTTCTCAATATTTCACCATATTTGATAAATATCATGATAAATAACATACAACTGTTTGTATTTTAACATCGTCCTTGTAGTTTTATAAGCTAAACTGAAGCAAACATCTTTACTGTGAACTAAATTTACTGTGTATCTTCATTCCTTTTGCCGTCCTTTTTCTTTGATTTTTTCCTACTGGGAAGTTAGAATTTCCGAGGAGAAAGCGAACGCACCATTAGCTTTTAACAATGGTGGCAATGGAAGCTAACATATCAAGCTAACATTATCTTAAACAGTTTATTTAGCTGCTGGAGCAGATTAAAACGATGATGCCTCACACTTAGATCGTTATCGCTGGTTTCATCTTCACCCAATCACCCGTCGCATTTAGTAAAGTGAAGCCAAACTTTAGAGTGCGTTCATGTTCTTCTAGTCGGAAATTCGGAGTTCCGAGGAGAAAGCGAACGCACCATTAGCAAAACGGAAGCTAACATATCAAAGTAACGTAATCCTAAACATTTTATTTACCTACCGGAGCAGATTAAGATGAGGATGTCTCACTTAGATCATTGTCGCTGGTTTCATCATCACCCAGTTACCAGTCACATTTAGTGAAGTGGACCCAAGCTTTAGCGTGCGTTCTTTCTACCGTGCTGCTTTGTTTACAACTGCCTCGCAGCGACCGACGACATAACACTCTTGCGCAAGCGCAGCTGTCTAGGCAAGTTCTCGTTATGAAGGACGGGTACCGAAACGAGGCACTGTTTTAAGTCATTGAGTCATTGACTACAGTCAGTCTTTGCAGCAATCCTGCAGGAAAACAAATGTTGCTGTGCTGGTGCAACCGGATGATTGGCTGTGTGGCTCGTGGTGCCGCAGCATAAGGATGAGGTCAGGACACATGGTGGGAATTTGGAAGCATTTTAATAAAAAACAGCCATTTAGAAACAACCAGAAGCTCCTGATGTCATCTCTGATCTCTGAAGCTGTTACCCTGCACCCACAGGTGAAGCCACTAAGTGCGATTAAGGGCTGCACAACAGCCAGGCCAACGAGAGGGCAGAGGAGCGTGTACATGCCCCACACCGCGTTGTACTTTTTATTGATGGTCGGCGAACTGACAAAGCTACCTGTTAGCCTTTATATCAGCTACCGCACAGTAAACAGCTAATGCTGAACCACTAAACCGTGCAGTGTCTGTCCAGCAGAGGGCTGCCCACTGTGAAGTTACTCACATTTATAGTTGCAGAACCACTGAAACCAGTTTAAAAGCAATAGTTACAAACCCTTTAATGTTGCTGTAACTCCAGATGTCATGTGATCTGTTAGCAGTCAAAGTATGTGATGAGACCAAAATGTGACTATATGTTTGTAAAACGGACAGTTACGGAGTAGCCATGCTGAATCGAATTGACTCCAGAAGTTCTTCAGTTATAGCTGTTCATCTAGTCGTTCATTTCTGAGTTTATTTGAAGGTGTTGAACACTGATAAAACATTTTAATAATGTCTTCTGATTATAATCAGTAACTCTGAGTTTTTCATGCAGGCTGAACATGAGAATAGTCTCCTACACCCATCTTCTGCTTTCGCTTCTGATAGAAAACAGATGGTGAAACTCTAGGACTAGAAAATCCCGACAGATCTACGTCACACTGTCACTCAACATTCATGAACTCACCCATCTTGACTCGTGACAGGGAAGGCTGTTGTTGGCTTAACGTCCTGGAAACAGCTAGTAGAAGCTAACCATTAGCATTAGCAACTCCACCACTAGCGATGTGTATTGGTGAAATTCTGGCGACACGATACGTATCATGATACTGGGAGACGATACAATATATCACGATATATTGCGATAGATTCAGTCAGACGTTATTAGCAAATTTTTTAAGACTGAATTTATTATAGGAAAATTCTATAAACAGTCCAAACTGATACTTAACATGTTTAAAATGAGGTATCTGAACCATAATAGAGGGATTTACATTTCAGTGGTGGAAACAAAACCTATTGCACACTGCTGCCAACTAGCGGTTAGCGTTCAAATTGCACCAAAAGAAAAGAAAATACACAAATGTTTGCATGAAAATTCTTCCAAAAATTAGATACACACCTTTTGAATATCAATGTAATATTGCAGGAAAAATATATCACGATATATTGTCATATCGATATTTTCTTACATCCCTATCCGCCACGCAGCAGAACTCCCCCAGGCTTTTGTTATTTGTGGAGATTACACATCAGCGTAGCAGAGTAGAGTCAGTGGTAGAGTCACCTCCTAAAACAGGAGTACCAGAGCACAAGGCATTCATTCGTACTAGAGACCACTGCAGATGTAATGATTAAGCGAGTGTTCCACACCTTTAAAATCCACGTGTGTCATCAGATATTTTTGTAACACACACATTTTTATTACCTGCCTTTTGTCTTTTAGCAGCAGGCTATAAAAACGCCTCTTTGTATCCTCAGAAAGCTGCTGTCATTGTTATCCAACAGCCTACCCCGCGAGCCAGAAGAGTACAGAACCGTTCCAAGCTTCTTCAGCACGTTAGTCAGTGTTAACGTAAAGATATGACAAGTCTCAGAGGTTTTGATAGTTTTTCCATTTTCTTAAGTTAGAGAGAATTTACTGACAGTGAATACTCTAAGCTGCTCCATTGCTTACACTTTTCTTTATGACAGGAAATCATCTTAGTTCATTTGTTTGTATTAGAGTCCTGGGATCCCCCTCACTGCACCCCTTTGTTTCTTGTTCGCTCCGGCCCGCTCGACCCGCCCTGCTTCCTACAGGAAACCAGAGATAAGAAGGAGCTGACTAGGAGAAAAGAAGAGAGGAGAGAAACAGTTCATATCAGTCAGCCTGCTGAGAGCACACTCCGTTTATATGAGCCGTAGTCTCAGGTTACACAAAACCACAGAGTCAAACAGACGTGCAGATTTTAAACATCTGCTCCATTCTCTTCTGTGCACTTTAGAGATGCAAACACAGTTTATTAAACATTTTCAGCTGAAATGTAAAAATGTGGCTGAAAACTAAAAAGTTTGGTTTCATGTTCATCAGAACTGGAGCACCTACCCAGCTCTTCCCTTCTGACAGCCTAATATGTTGAGTAGCGGTAACAGCTTTGTATAAAGTATTACGTCAGTTTCACTTGGCAGGATTTTTATTTTTATATGACTTAAAAAGCATGAGAGACCACACACAGCAATAAAACGTCAATAGGCAGATTTGGTCCTACATTGTGTGGCAAACCACACACAAAGCAAATTCACACACAAACATTCCTCAGTGAGACGGTACATTTGGTGAGATCAAACGATCAGAGGAGGCATGAGCGGCTTGCTTCTGTCACCTCGCTTCCTGACTGGATGCACTTCTCCTTCAACAGGCAGCAACATTGTGTGTTCTCAAAAAACAGACCATAACAATCCAACACGTTTGAAAGCTTGGATATGTGATCCTGGTGTCCTTCTGAGCAGATCTGAGAGCTATTAGCACACCACACATGGCAGCAATATCTGACAGGATAATCTTTAGAGTCATTATGGTAATCGGACGTGTCCTTAAGATTGTGGGAAGGAGAGAATCGGGTCTAAAATCAGCACAATTATCCTGAACTGGGCCTAATATATACATATGTATAAAAAATATGTGTATATATATATATATATATATATATATATATATATATATTTATATATATATATATATATATATATATATATATATATATATATATATATATATATATATATATATATATATATATAAGACACTTTTTTCACATTATCATTATGGGGTGTTGTGTGCTGAATTTTATGGGCAAAATGAATTTAATCCATTTTGGAATGAGGCTGTAACATAAACAAGAAAGTGGAATAAGCGAAGTGCTATGAATACTTTCCGGAAGCACTGTACATACACACACACACACACACACACACACACACACACATGTATACACATATACACACACACACACACACACACACACACACACACACACACACACACACACACACACATATGTATATAGCGGTGATTGAGGTTCCAGACAGTAAATCTTATGGACTGGATGGAATATACACGGAACATCTGAAATATGCTAACTTTAGGTTATTACCTCTACTGGCCATCTGTTTTACTAGTTGTTTGATACATGGCATTCTGCCTGATGCACTTATGTCTATTATTCTGGTCCCTGTCATAAAAAACAAAGCAGGTAGAGCAGGTAGCATGGACAACTGTAGGCCTGTTGCATTGGCAAGCATTGTATCCAAGGTTATGGAAAAAGTGCTACTAAGTAGGCTAAAGGATTCTATCTTCTCTACAGAT